TTTTTGAATATTAAAATTCGTTGTGTTATTTAGGAGCTGTATTGTGGTCTTAAAAACCAACTTCTAAACGGACAAATCAGATCATCAGCCTCATTCCAAAACAAAAGATCTGTGCTGACTGGTAATCAGTAGAAGAGGAACTGTAAGATCTGTAGATTTCACACGCATGAAAGCACATTTTAAGGATGATCCAGAGCTGCTTGCTTGAAGCGAAGTTGAGCACAGGCTCCATCATACTGCCGCATTGCAAGCAAGCAGCAATTTGGTACAGCCCAGAACCGGGACCCGAACTCAGCTGGCCAATTTCGCAAAAGTCATGCCGAATCCGCGAAAACCAGTGATCTTGTGGAAATCCTCGTCAAGGCAATAGACAAAGCGACCGGTTGAAGAGGGCTTGAGGGACATAATAAAGACGAATCGCCAATCCATCTAGTGGACGCAATAAAATTGCATAAATTAATGTCACATTAATCCTCCTGGGACAGTATATGGCCGAATGTAACGGGACTGCATGAATTACAGCCACCAGCCCGGCCATTGCTGAATGTCTGGCCTCTATTACTACAGTTCCCAGTCGGCTGACTGATCAACCTATCATAGCCTCTACCGGGACTTATCCTCATGCTTCTTTCCTCCTCCTCCTCCTCCTCCTCCCTCTCCTCCTCTTTCTTCTAATTTCTAATTTTCCTGCTAATACCGATGGTGCCGATAGAGCATCTTTAAACTCGAGACTGAATCCAAGTCTGGGTGAAGCGCATCAGCGAAGAAGCCTGGCTCATCTAAAGTCCTACGTGACCTGAAATTCTAATTTAATTTCAACTTTTATCGTCTTCTACATCCCTGCTTGAGTATTCCGCTTTCAGTGACTGGTACCACTTCACCAGTCTATCTACATATCCTGACGATTGTTGTAGAAAATGGAGGGAATCCAGCTTTGATCTGATGAATGTTGGCTTGAAACGCAACTCCGAAGACTGTTCATTCAATGGTTTGATTACATTTGCCCGAAGGATCCTAGACACCCTCGACTAAAGTTCTTCGTAGGCATTCGACTAACGAGAAGAAGAGTAGGACGGCACAGACAGCAAGCTTGTTTGATCTGCCAAAACTGGGTGGAATAATCTCACCGTAAAGCATCCTCGTTACACGAAGACTTTACAATCTTTGTATTCTTCAGTTGTCGGGCGGCACAAAGTAGCATAAGCAAATCGTTATTATCCCATTTACTCTGCCATTCTTCAGCTCATTTTGCCCGTTCCGGCACCGAAACAAAGCCTGTTTTCGCGCTCCTTCAGATTCGGACTAAAACGAATTATGGACTCATTTAATTATTATTATTAAATGGGGTCAACATCAATTAGCAGTGGCCGTGCCAATAAACGAAATAAAAATAATCTAATGTTAATGGATCAATAAGTAACCGTCTTCCCAACTCTTTTGAGGGCTTGGAGACAATGCATGCTTCTGCCATTGTAGAGACACATATGAGGTTACACTTTGGTACCAACCTAGTCCGATTAATTATATTATAGTATTAAAGGAAACACTTTAAAGCTGTCTCTCTGCTTGCCGAACGGGCGGTTTTTTCATTCCATCCAATGAGATCGGTGACGTGTTGAGAAGATGTTGTCTCTTTTACTTTAGATTTTCGTAAGCTGAATCAGCGAGGCAGAATTGAAGAGAAGCGAAAAGACGGTAGTGGATTGAGAAATTAACGGAATATCCCGTTTCGGCTTTGCTCAACATTTTTTCGGCTGCTTGTTGCTGCTTGAATGAAGATGGCTCGTCTATTCACTAAAACTTGGCATATACGCATCGACGTCCGACTCCACTTTTGCCGTAAACTTGCACTATTCCTGCTACACCGATAGACAAACAGTGATTTCTGCCTTTTCTCAAATTCACACTTGTTTAAAACTGCGATTTCTCGTTCTGTTGGAAATTATTCGTCTCGCTTGACCGAAGCATCCAAGTCTTCTCGCAATTTCTCTTGATGTAGACTTTGTCATTCTAAGTTACTTAAATTGATTTAAGTAGTGATAATAGAGTATGCCCGGGGTGGTATGAATAGTTCACAGAAAATATTTCTCCGTTCACGGTTGGACTGCCATTTCGACGCCCAACATAATTAGAAACCAGTTCTTGCTCATCGAAATGTACTTGGTCCGAAGGGTTTTCTTGATTCG